GATCCGATACGCCTCTTCCGGCGTTTTTGTTGCGCGATTTATCTCATTTTGGGCCTCCCTGTTAGTCATATTTACAATAAATACATCTCGCAGTATTCTGGACTCCAATGTTCCGAACGCACACCGGGCTGCTAGCCCGCTAAGAACAGAATGAAACTGTTCCAGCGACTCACCGATACGTTGCTTGCGTGACAGATATTGAAATACCTCATACGTTTCATTCCTTTCCTTTTTAAATTCTCCTTCCATCGCCTCCAACACCCTCGGGTATCTTGTAGTTGTCAATTCCCAATGAGGCCTCCTCTAGTGCAAATCGTCCTGCCCTTCTCCCCAATACATAAGTGTAGGTTCGATATCAGCGTTTGTTCTGATTCCAATCGTGGTTTTCCATCCACCTCCGGATTTCAGTCCCTGATTTGTGCCTCCGTAAGAGTACTGGCAAAATAGAAGTTTTTCGGGTTCAATGAATGTTTTGCTACCATCCCCCACTGGAATCGGTTCAACCAGAATTCCCACTGCATTGGTGACTCCGCGCATTTAGGTAGCCAAAAGGACATGATGCCTAATGGGTTTTCCCCCACCTTGATTTGTTGGCTAGGCCATTATGAAAACGATGATGTAGTAAGGTTAAATTCCAATTTTAATTAACAACCGTTTCTAATAAGATCATAAGCGACAACTCAAATAGGAGATTACCGAAGGTGGCAAACGCTCTGAAGGTTAGTACCTGTCAATTACCTGTCAATTTGATTGACAGATATAATAATGAACATAAGCTAAACGAGAAGTGAACTAGTTTAATCACTATGACAAGTTGTATATGATGTTAATTTTTTGTGTTCACTGTTTTCTTTCTTATCTTAGGATTAAAAGGATGTCTATCCATAATCCGATGATGTAGATGTTCAAACGATTCAGAAACAAAAAAATTGCGATTTGAAACACTTCAATTATCCAGTTTTTTATTTTGAACTTGTTTGTGATGCTAGATGTTAAATTTTTAGAAAACTGGATAATTGAAGCGTTAAAAACTACAAGTTTTGTGTTTCTTAAGCGTTTTCTTCAGTCTAAGCTAACAGAATTTTTCTCTTTACACTTCAGTTTTCTGAATAGACATCCCTTCAATCCTAAGATAAGAAAGAAAACAGTGAAATCAAAATCATTTTTCTATTTTCATGACTTGTTTGGGTCGTTTCACTTTTGACCAAAAGATAACGTTTGTCATTCTCAAAAAAGAAAAAGCTATCGATCACGCTTTTTCGGAATTGAGCTTATTTATCTGCAAGTGTAACCCAATAAACTTCTTAAAAACACAAATTTTATCACAGATGCAAGGCAAAGCGTTGCCGTTATATTCGAGGTTCGAAAAATGGCCTTGTATGATTAATGGAAAAATGGATTGAAAGCAATATATCAATTTCAGTGCATAGTGTATAGAGCATTGTGCTGCAACTTTTAGCGAGGATCCAAAAGTCGAGTAAAAAACCCAACCTAAGCCAATTCCAATTTTGCAAGTTATCGGAATCAAAACTTCGTACCTTAAAGCAGACCGCGTAACTGAATTAGTTGCCTTAGCTGCCTCGTAGTGTTCAAAAACGTACAAAGAAAATAGTGAAGATTTTGTTGACCTACAAAATCACATTTTTAAAAGTACAAAGACAATTTTTTTGAAACCTTATCCTTCCCAGCCATTGTTTGTGTATATTTTGATCAAACATCATTCAAAAAGCTGGCAAGCCATTTTTTCGCTCACCCAATTACGCTTACTTTTTTTACTTAACCTTAATACGCTTAAATTTTTTGCTTACCTAATTACGCGTACCTTTTTAGCTTACCTAACTACGCTTAATTTTTTCGCTTTTATAATTAAAAGTAAATTTTAATTATCTAGTGTGAATCTGCTACCTTGTGTAAATTTTGATCTATTTTCTGAACATTATTCAAAGAACTGGTAAGCTATTTTTTCGCTCACCTAATTACGCTTACGTTAACCTAATTACGCTTACGCTTAACTTTTTACCTTATCTAATTGTGCTTAATTTTTTTGCTTACCTAATGAAATGTAAATTTTTATTACCTTGTGTAAGTTCTGATCAAATTTCTGAAGAACTTTCAAAGAACTAGTAAGCTGTTTTTTTCGCTCACCTAATTACGCTTACGTTTTTAACATACCTAAATACGCTTAATTTTTGCGCTTACCTAGTTAAGTGTTAATTTTGATTTCTTTGTGTAAATCTCCTAGCTGGTGTAAACTTTGATCAAATTTATTCGATAAAAACTTATTCTTTTTAGGTTACCTAAGTATGCTTAATTTCTTGGCTTACCTAATTCTGAACATCATTCAAAGAACCGGTAAGCTACTTTTTCGCTTGCTTAATTACGCTTACGTTTTTAACTTACCTAATCACTCTTAAATTTTTCGGTTACCTAATTTTGAATATCATTCAAAGAGCTAGTAAGCTATTTTTTCGCTTACCTAATTACGCTTAAATTTTAGCTTACCTACTTACGCTTAATTATTCGTTTGCCTCATTAAGCGTAAGTTTTGATTACCTGGTGTAAATTTTGATAAAATTTTTTTGAAAAAAGAGCCGGTAAGCAATTTTCTCGTTTAACGTATGAAGCTTACTTTTTTAGCACACCTAAAAACGCTTAATTCGTTTGATTGCCTGATTCTGAACAACATTCAGAGAGCTGGTAAGCTACTTTTTCACTTACATAATTACGCTTTCCTTTAAAGTTTACCTAATTACGCTTAATTGTTTCGCCCTTTAAAGTTTACCTAATTACGCTTAATTGTTTCGCTTACCTAATACGCTTAATTTTTTGCTTACATAGTTAAACATAAACTTTAATTGCTTTGTGTAAGTCTGCTACCTTCTGTAAATTTTGATCAAACATCTGAACATCATTCAAAGAACTGGTAAGCTGTTTTTTCGCTTACCTAATAACGCTTAGTCTTAGCTTACCTAATTACGCTTAATTTTTTTGCTTACATAATTAAATGTAAATTTTGATTACCTGAGTAAATCTGCTACCTTGTGTAAATTTTGATCAAACATCTGAACATTATTCAAAGAACTGGTAAACTAATTTTTCGCTTACCTGGTTGCGCTTACCTTTTTAGCTTACCTAATTACGCTTAATTTTTGCGCTTACCTAGTTAAGTGTAAATTTTGATTACCTTATCTAAATCTGCTACGTTGTTCTTACCTTGACTGATTTTTGATCAAACTTCTGAACATTATTCAAAGAACTGATAAGCTAGCCTTTCCCTAACTTAATTACGGTGGACGATTTATTTAAACTTTAACCTGCTACCTGCTACAAACCTATAGATTTTTTGAAAATCTGGTACATGATGATGGTAATTTAATCCCAGGTTTCATTCACAGGCACATAATTACAGCGTATTGCAATGCCTAGAAGGTTACTAAAAAAATAGTTTACTTGGAAGTTCAAATTGTATCCTAACAGTTGATAAAATGTTTTTATCATGAATTTTAAAATTGAAACACTTTTCTTCGAGAATTTTAGAGACAAATTTTGCATAGTTTCTCAATTATTTTTGGCAAAACTTGAAAAAAAAAACGTTTGGATTAACTTTGCGAAGTTCAAACATTTAAACGACTTGAAATTTCAGAAACATAGTTGAATTAGGACTGGTCTGACCGGATAAATTTATTATCCATTATGTCTAGAATTAAACACGATTGAAGATCTAAATAAATTGGTATCCGAAATTTTTCAAGAAATCCAAAATTTAGTGCAGTAAAATATTTAAAAAGTTTTTAGAGATCTGTTAACTTGATCAAATTCTTGACTGAGCCAATGGTCCTCGTTGCCACATAGATTTCAGAAAAAAAAGATAAATATATAAAAAAATTATACCACTTAAATTTTTCAATTGTTCGAAACTTTAGTGTTCAACAATTTTCTGACAAATACTGCAAAAATTTTGCTAAAACTTTTAGTAATTTTAGATCAACTGTTTATCTCGCATCGTTCTCATTTTTAGTGAAAATGAGTATGGTAGAAAGGATTTCCCATAAAAGCACACGTCCATGCTATTCGGTTTTTATACCAATATCAGTTACAAAGTCGTCATAAAATCGAAAACTCTATAGCCATCAAAAATTTTAAACGGCACTGCTGAAAATTCAAGCTCATTTTAGTGTTGGTAAGATGAATTTATTACACAGGAACTGAGCTGAGCTACGCATCACTAACGAAACAAAACAAAAAAAATCGAAACAGTCAAAGAAATTAGATCTATTATAATAAGTAAAGCGCTACTTTTCAAAAAAAACATGACAAGACAAAAAAATGTGTAATAAGCATCGGAAGCTATTGTAAAAAGCGGTAACAAAGCCGAAAATACCTTGTCAGAAACCCTTTAAGCCAAAAAAATCAACAAGACTTAGACATCTGAAAAGTTAATACGTCGACCTCAGCCTCAAAACACTTCATTTGATCGTCAAAGAAACAATACGAGGATACTAAGCCGTTATAGAACAGGCAGAAGCCTATTAAGCCCAAAAAGGAAAATAAAAAGCTGATAAAATATAGGCCGCAACGTACCAAGCGAAAAAAAAATTTTTTAAAAATTGAATGCAACAAGTAGGTGTTTCAATTATATTCAGGTGTCGATGAAAAAATTTGATGCCGAGAAACAGATCATAGCGAGTGCTATTCTACCATTTGCAAAAACTCGATCAGAAAACAAAATTTTAAACTCTGTTGTGAATGACCAGCCTGAACTATTACTCATTTCATCATTTTACAAAAACGAAGTTTTTAAGCTCAAATTTCTTGCTCCCTTGAAATTTCAATATTTGTACAGCAATTCATTGTTGGGTTTCTTCCTACTTTTGTCATTTTGCTTATGCTTTTTACGGAACTTTTAGACTAAATTTAAAGTTGTGGACGTTATTTCGAACTGTAAAGTAAAATTTTAGGTTGACCAAGTGTTTAACTCTTGCTCAGCTGAAAAACAGGGGTAAATTTTTTTGAATCATATTATGGTGTAATGAATGCAAGGTAGTTCAAAATTCAAGAAGTTTATCGAAGTACATTTTAAATTTTGATCAAAACTTTACAGTACGATTTGATCCATCTATTAAATAGTTTGACCTCGAGTTATTTTTTTGAAAGGTTTTTGAAAATCTTCTGCTTTCCAGATTTTTTCTCTGACATCATTTTCCTCTGCTTGAAAGATTTCGCACTAACAACGCTGATGTCTACATACGGCGGAGTCTCAAACCCAAAAGACTTCGCCACCAATTTCAGGTCCAGTGTCGTAATATCGAATGTATCTTTTGAAGAGTGACTTGCATATGCTCGCACGTACGATTTGAAAGCACCCGTGGCCGACTTGTGCAAATAGTAGTTTTTGCCAATCAATTTTTCCACTCCAGCTTGTATATTCTGTATTTTGCTCCACTGGAAATCGAATTCATTCACTGGAACTTTGGCCGACTGCAACAGTTTCAAAAAAGACAGTTCCTCGGGGCGGAGAACCAGCAGAGCATTTCCACGACCACTAACTCCACGTGCTGTTCTGCCTACTCTGTGTATGTATTCTTTGTGATCTTGTGGGGGGTCATACTGCACTATCCAGTCCACTTCAGGGATGTCCAGACCTCTGGCTGCCACATCTGTACAAAGCAATATACCTTTTTCTTCTTTGCAGAAATTAAAGAACGTCGAGGTCCGCTTCGCCTGTTTTTGCTTCCCATGAATTGACTCACATGGCAAATCGATGAAATTAAACAACTCGTAGTGGTATTTGACAGACAAGCAGGATGAAAAGAATACCATCACCTTTTTATTCATATTCTTCCGCAAAAACGTGAACAGCAATAGCAGCCGTTTGTCAGATGGTACGACAACATATCCTTGTGTTAGGCCTTCCGCTGTTGCGACAGATCTTTTATCATCCACGCCCACGTAGACTGGTTTGTGCTTGATTGATATCTTAGCCAAATCCTCCGTCTTTTTAGTCTGCGTTGCCGAAAACAGAATAGTCTGTCTTGCCTTCGGTAACATCTTCACAATTTGTCGCATTTCATGTTCGAATCCAACTTCTAAAATCCGATCAGCCTCGTCGATTACCAAGCATGCACAGTTGTGATAGGCAAAGCCTTTTGTGTTCGTCATGTGGTCCAGAAGTCTACCAGGAGTTGCGATCAAAATGTTGACTCCTTTCAACAGCTTTTGAGCTTCTGCAGACCTATTGGTTCCACCCATTACAATCCCGTAGGTCATCTTATGAAACTTCATTAACTCTTCAAGGACGCCAAAACTTTGCATCGAGAGCTCCCGAGTAGGTGACAAAACGATACAGATAGTTCCGTTGTGAGGCTTCGGGTTCAGCTTGTACACCAGTTCAATGGCTGGAATGAGAAACGCAAGAGTTTTTCCACTGCCTGTCCTAGCAGCTCCAATAAGATCTTTGCCCTCGAGAAGTGTAGGAATACTCTTTGCTTGAATTTCCATCATAGTATCGAATCCCATTTCTCCTACAGCTTTTAGAGTATGTTCATTTACCTTTCCAACTAATGATTCGAACTTGTCGTCAGATAAAACTCCTAATTTACACTCATCGAGGTCTGATTTCCCTTCTGGCTTCGCTTTTACGGACTTTTCAGTCTTCGTTTCTAACTTGCTGACCTTTGCCTTTCCTGAAGTTTCTGTTTCGTCGTCAGAAATTTGATCTTCTCTGATAACAGATGGATCTTGTTCAGAGACAACTGCGTCTGATTCATTCACTTCATTCGCTTCAACGGTCTGATTTTTATTTGGCCGAGATCGTTTTCTCACTTTCCTTCGAATTTTTTTCATCTCATCTACAGCCATATCGAACCTGGAAAAATAAATGTGAGCAAGGTTAACCAAGTACAATCCAGGAACAAAAAAATCAAACAGTTAAAAAAATTGCATTATTTTCTGACACAGAGGCGAAGCGGAGCTTTGCACCACTTGTGATGCAACAAAAGCAATTAGAAAACCTCAGAAATAAAAAAATGAAGAAAAAACAAAATAAAAAAAACAAGGACTACCAAAATTTGAAACTTTTCGATGTCTCGATGGCAACTCATTCCAATCCAAAAATGTCAGAAATTTGAATACCAATTTAGCAACGGAACAAAACATACAAAAAGGCAACAAAATCGAAAATCTTTGAGCAGACAACAGTTGAGCCGAAACAAAAAATTGATTTTGAATAGAACAGAGAAAATTATCTTTCATGATAGAGGTACCCCCTGATACTAGAATGAACAACACTTACACTTCTATGAGGGTTGCCCACAACAAGCAAAATCCGTGATGTAACTTAGCTGACAAAACTTGAGCAGACAAACTAAAGTCCGACCATTCACTTTTAACTGAATTTTTTTAAATTGCATACAAACTGAAAAAACAAGATCTACCCGAGACGCGAACCCCAGACCTAATGATGCAAAGGCGACGGCATTACTCCTAGTCTAATTTGAAAGGGACCTGAAATATATAGGGATTTATACAAGAGAAAAGATTTCTAAAAAATGTAAAGAAGAAGTAAAAGTAAAGAGAAAAGCTTAAGCCAAAAAGAACTGTTCGTATGAAAAAATTTTGAGCTAGTTTTAAAATTTTTTACGCTTTGGAAAATTAGCTCAAAAACGCACCAGATAATACAAACTGCTTTTAAACAAAGGGAAAATGAATCGACGGAAACCAGGACGAAAAAAAAAACACGAATACGAAAAACCACGAACACATTTTTTAAATTTTTTTTTGAAAATATCAAGAACTTTACCATTCCTCCAAAAGTGACCATTATGTGAACAAAATTACTTACGGAGAAAAATCTAGTACACGATTGCAATACCAGCCAAACAGACAAAAAACAGCCAACAGACAGTTGTTAAGTCTTTCACGTTTTTCGTGACCATCCTTTTGATGTTCGATAGTGCGATTTAAGATGAAGTCAAAAATCAAACCGAATACGAACAAGCAATATCCGTGAGTCTTTTGAAAACAAACCTGAAAAACATGATCATGACTTATACACAGGCGAATCTGCGCTTCGCAAACAATTGCGAGAACACGACCAAAAATCAGCTCTATCAGGTTAATTAAGAAAAAGTAGAAATGAGCCTCGAATTAGAAAAAACTCGGTTACATGTAGGATTCAAATCTGCGACCTCCTGCAAAGAGATTTTGAGTCTCACGCACTATCCCCACAGCCACTCAAGCTTAACAACAGACAAACACTAGTCACGAATAAAGCAGCTACATTTGCGAACAAAATGCCAACGCGATTCAGCACCATATACAAATAGACTCAACTTTGCAATTAAAACGTGGAATATAACAAACTGAAGGTATCCACACTAACTCTGTATCTAACAAACTGCAAAGCATAAACGCACATTATGTATAAATTATGCATTTAAACAAATTGCGAGATAAATTGAGTTAAAAAATTTCACTACGGTAAAAATACATCAACTGTGTTAATTCATTACTATTTGAATGTCAAAGCACATGCTATCAAAAAGCTGTAAAGGTGCCCCACCATTATAGGGAGGCCGCACCATAAAAGTGCCGCACCAATATTTGCTATTTAGTTTGGAAAAAAAACAGAAGGTTCGTACTAATACACTAGCTTCGCAAGTGTAATAAGTGTGTAAACATAACTTGAGAATATCATTAAAAAACCAACTGGACTTACATAAGTGTCTTCATTACATTCACTTAAATTTTTTTTAAAAAATGAAGATATCGGGTCCCTGAGTTCAACTTTAAGAAAATATTTTGATTCCGAATACTTTGAGTTTTGAAATTTGACAATTGAGCCTTGCTCTGGACTACTCTTTGCGTTTATTGAAAAACTTTTCTTTGATGGTGAAAGCATAACGCGAACATGTGCAGCATTTCTCACGCGCTACAAACCGTTCCAAATTGAGTTGAGGCGAGCCAATCGGTCGTATTAATTTCGAACAACTCAAATTTCCACTCTGATGTTTGATGTTTCTAAAATTTATATTCGAAACTATTTCTTTACCAAAAACTATTCGATACTGGTTAAGAGACAGTCGGAACACTAAGGGCTCTGTCCTAAAAAACGAGCAGGCTTCTGATTGACTTAATCGAGCATTTCGGGCTATTTTGAAAAAACAATAATTAAAACTTGAATTCGGTCTTCCGAGGGTCAAAAATAATATGGCCATATAAGCTGTCATTGAAATAGCTTAAATAAATTTTTACAAACAAAGTGTATGAGCACAGCACAAATTAGAGAAATATAGCATTGATGTAGTGAACAGGAAAACTAGATATATATATATATTAGATTAGAACGCGACTCCTCAGATGCTTGTTGCGCACAAAACACACAACTGGAAAACAGCAAAAAACCATACTCATTTGCAAACCGGTAATTGTTCCGACTTTCGAAGAAAATGTTATTAGGCTTTGAAAATTACTAACTTAGTCAAATTTTCAACCAAAAAAAATTATTAAAATGACCTTAAAATGCAATCGGAAAATTCAGGGCTTCGCCCTGATATATGAGCAGTCTTGCTTTACTTCTATAACTCCCGTAGTTTTTTTTGCATATGACTAGATGCAGATTCCATGTGTGTTTCGCATTTTTGTATTTAAGCTCTAGCTCTTCTATCAACTACGCAAATCTATACGCTCAATCAATTAAGTATAGTGTCAAAAAGTGGCCAGCTAGCTAGCTTGCCATCTGAGTGGAGTGGGTTGACATCGTCACAGGTTTCTAAACTATTGCTGGTTAGTGTAGCTAGTCTCACTGTTCAGACAAGGAAGCAACTGATTTTGGGATGAGTGCCACTTGCAGCTGCATCGCTTTCTCCTTATTCTGCTGCTGCTCAGATGTTGAGTGGTTGCCGAGGGTATCCCCTTCGCTGTTATTCGGCACTGGGTCAGACTGTGGTCTGCTGGTAAGGGCATTGGAGACCTGGTTAGTGATAGGAGGCAGACTGATGTGGTATGAGCAGTCACTCCTCTGATAGAACAGAATGTAGATGTCTTTGCTTCTCTCGAACTGTGGCTCCGGCTGCTCCACCAGTCGCACTGACTCGTCGTTGAAATGGTACCATTGACCACTCAACGCATTGCGCGCATAGGCCGTGTAGTGGCCCGAATTCACTGCTAAAAACCAAAAAATACAGGCGATACTAGCCATACAAAACAAGAAAAACGAATAAATCGAAAATGTCGAAAAAACTAGATCTGTCAAACTGAATAAGGATAATTTTTAAACAAAAACATGCCAAGACAAAAGAATGAAGAAAAAAATTTTACCAAGCGGTAACAGCAGAAATTAACCCTTTAAGCCCAAAAAAATCAACAATACTTCAGATTTATAAAAAATTAAGCTATCCCCCTCGCCCTCAAAACGCTCGTCAAATGAAACAAAATGAGGCAACAAAACCGTTAGAATACAGGCTGAAACCTATAAAGCAGGGGAAAAAAAGAAAAAAAAATTTTTTAGAACCATTAAGAACAACACATGTCCGTAACTATTTATGAACCCATGACCAGGCCTGTTTTGGTAGACCGTACATCAAGCTAACAATCTGCGGAGACTAACTTTGTCCGACATGGTAGACACAACTCTGCAGCCTGTATTCGACAGTGCTCGTTTTGTTCTGGTGAGGCAGCTGGAGACTGGTGGGACAGGAGACAGGGTTGTCCAGTTTGTAGCTGGTCATGGTGGCACTGTGGAAGTGGAATCTTTTCAAATAGATCACCAATGTCTCTGGTAACTCCCACAGAGCCATCTGGCGAGTGGCCTTCCTCACTGCCTTGCATTTCCCACACCACCACTCCTCGCACTCTTCTAGTGTCTCCGGTCCAGTGAAGGCATCCAGACAGTACTCCAGACTGAGTACTCCGTCCTCAGTTCTACTCGCACCAATTCCTCCTTCGCTCTCATTCCACTGTTCTACTGGGGGAAAGAGAGGCGCAACATCGTCAAATGACACCCCGTCAAACCTATACACATTACATTTTCAATGCAGGCTACAACTGGCAATATTTTACCTCATGAAGCATTAGATGAAACGATTTCACGCTTTCAGCTCTTCATTTTGTATGCGAAACAAATTTGATGCTAACTCACTGGATGCATAGCGAATCTCCTGGAATGAACTCGACGAAGTCGTTCGAAAGCGGGTCTGACGCTAACTGTTCACTCTTAGCTAGAATAGAACAATCACAGGCCGAGTTGTCTGCAGTGGCAGTTTTGTAGCACCTGCAAAATAAAAAAACACTGCTTAGGGTTACGCAGAGGAAGACCGCAATCAACTCTACTTTTTGCGAGACAATGTCAATACCAGTTGCAGAAAGATTTTCTTACAGAATAAATATACTTCTTTCAATTCTCATATATTGACTCAGAACCCAGTCGTTAAGAACCCATTTTTTATGCAGCTTTAGATCTCTAGAGATACCACTAACCTGGGACACTTGAGGCCTGTATTCTCCGTGCGATGCACCGAGTAGGCGAAGTCCGAGAGCGACGCTGGCACACAATTATCCCTCACACATTCAATCAAATGCTGTCTGGATACCAAATCCGACAGAACAACCATCCGGGGCAAGTCCACTTTCTCCATCCGCCCATTCTCCCAGCTGTACACTCTGTAGCACACACTCAACAACATGCGTCTACTTCCTCTGCCCCCTCCTCCTGCTGAAGTGGATGCTCCGCCAACTGTCCCTGTTTGGGATTCTGTGCCGCTGTCTTCGACTTTCGTCTGTTTCCCATTTCCTGTAGAAAATATTTTCAACGACCATAACATTCAGTTACTCAATTACGGAATTTCGGAAGTTGGTCAATTAAAAATACTTTTCTCACCCAAAAAGGGAAACTCCAGATCTTCGTCTTCCATGACATTGCACATTGGACACTTCACCAGCACCTTCTTATCCTTCTCTTGCTCCTGGCTGGAACTGCTGGGCTGATTGTTTGCAGCTGCTTCAAGGGAGTTGATCTGCTCCATAGCGAGTGCACCCATGATGTCGAAGTCATCGCCACCACCGTGGCCTAAAGTGGCCAGAGCAGCCGCGGCAACAGTCTGTTCTGGCGACTGCATCTGGTTCTCTTTCAGACTGGAGAAGCATGTTTCGCACAGACATGCTCCACAGCTCTTGTGCATGCGCAGATCATCCTCGAATCTCTCATCCAAACAGATGCAGCACTGTTTCCACTTGGTCACTGAAAAAAGCCCTTATTTCCAACATAGCAATCAGATAGTTGAACAAAAAGTGTCAATGAGCGAAAGGGGACCAAAACAATTAATCGGTTGCTCCAAAAATTTTAATCTTTGAATTTCAACAAACTTTGTGACCAGCAGCGCTCTGATAAAAACACTCTATTTCAGGGGCGGATTTAGGGGGGGGGGGGTCCCCCTTTTGATACTTTTTCAGAAATCCATTTTTGGCCGACCGACCCTAAAATTTTTCTTAAGGCGCCTTCGTCGCCAATATACACTCTAACTTTGAGGGGGAGCGCGTGCCAAAAAACGCGTTTTTTTTGTCAAAATTTTCCAAAAAGTGCCCAAAAACGGTTTTTCACTGTTTTTTCAAAAATTTGCATGCGGCGCACATAATAGGGTCAAAACAGTGCTTGGGGAGAGCTCAAAAAATCAATTTGGTCGACCTAAAAAAAAAAAAAGGTCGTCAATCGTCAAAATTTTGGAAATTTTGTTGAAAATCGATCCGCCCCTGCCCTATTTGAAAACAAAACTAAACCAATAAGTAATTTTTGCATTCCGTTAGGAAATTTCAAATCAATTTAAGCCGATAAAATTTTTTAGCGCCAATTTGCACTTTCACTATTTGAGAGCGTAATTCGACTTCCTTTTAGAAAATGAAAACTAATCAAGCTTAACACACAGAGACAAAGCCAAGCTTCGAACCACATGAGCTACAAACATTTCTCAGAAAGCAGAACTACAGCTTAAAATACTTATTTTTAGGTCATGGAGCGTCTAATTTTTTAGTTTTAACCGAGTTGAATTAAGAGGTTAAACACTCAAATTCCTGATTTTCTGGAAAAAAAATCAAATAATCAAGAGAAGCTTTTTTTGCTCAAAAACAGTATACCGAATTGCCTAAGTTTTTTAATTTTAGGGTTAGTTAGTCAATCCTTGTGAAAAAAAAATCAAGCTCAATAGATTTTTTGGATTTTTGATGATTTATAAAAATTTTTCAAGAAATATAAAAAAAATGAAAGTGTCTTTCAATCGTAAAATTGGGAAAAGGTTTATGAAGAAAACAATCTGTTACAGTATTAACCTCTACTGAGCAATTTCACCCGTTAAATTATTTTAATCGGTTAAAATTTCAATTTTCGGCTAACCGCTCCATGCCTATTTACTGTATAAACATATTTCATATTTCAAAAAAAAAACAAAAAATTACGTACGATCCAGCCATAAAGAAGTACGATCCAGCCATTCTCTAACACTTATTATCAATACAAGCTCACTTGCCATATCATAAAACTCAAATCAGGCCAATCAAACATAGGTGAAAGCTAAAAATCGGAACATTTTTTACGCCTAGTTAACTGACAAATACATAACTTTTTTCAAATTATTGCAATCAGAAAGAATAAACATAGCCAACACAGTTGGAAAAGGGTCATGAATGCAAAAAATAGAAAAAACTGAAAAATTTTTTGTAAAAAATGACCTTAAAACTCGAAATTTGTGAACCATTTATGACTAAAATTTTTTTGATAAAATTACCCCAATTTGAGAAAACTGGATTAATAGCTAATTTTTTCATTCCGCTGTGAAATCTGAAAAAGAAAATCCACTTTCGAAACTAGAAATTGATCAGGTTTTTTGTGAACTTTTCACTTTTGCTGTTCGATAGTGGAGTTTACCTTGCTTTCAAAAACTTGAAAACTGAACTCGAAAACAAAACTTGAAAAAAAATCAAAAAACAAACCGCAAAAAAACAAATTTGAGCGTGAACAAATTTATAGACTGTTTTTCTGAAAGAAACACAACAAAAAAAAATCACCAAGACCTATAATTGACTGCGTTCAAGACTCTTAATGAAACTTCAAAAACTTTAAGAGAAGGCACTATTAAATGATTTCTGAAAAAAAGACTAATGCACGGGAAAACGAAAAAACTCCAAAGGTTCTCTTAAATAGACAGCATAAAAATTCAAAAATATCAAATTCAGCAAAATTTCATGGAACGCTTCTACTCGCGCAAAACAAGAGTACGTTGAAAGCAATTTATAATAAGAAACTTTCTAACCCATATGCAAATTCTAGGCTGTTGGAACTCAGTCGACAAAAAGACGCAGATAAAAGTTTTCTTAAAAAGAAACTTTTCATTAAAAAAAACAGGGCTGATTCAAACAAAAGTTCCTTGACCTCGCAGGCATGCATGGACTGACCAGACCCCCTTTTTTGATATTGAATGAACAAAGGTGTCAAATGATTTGTTATGTTAGTTTTTAAAGTCTATATTATATTTTGATAACGCTTGCTAAAGTGTAAATATATCTTAAGCAAACTGCAATTAACCAAACTTGAGAGTGAACAACTCTTTTGGAATAATCTTCTTGAAATAATCAAGTGACAGAAAAAGCGTCTCCATTTAGCTCAAAGGTGTCAAATGGTTTGCTATCCTAGTTTCTAAAGTCTATCGTATAATGTTATAACGCCTGCTTATCGCTAGTGTAAACAAGGATAGTCGGTTACTGTACAAATAGCACAAAATGTTCCGACCATTGTCTTAACAAATACACATTTGTTTTTTCGAATTAATGTCATTTTTTCTGTGTGGTGTGATAGTAAGATCTGAACAAAAAAAAAGATAATAGGTACATTAGACAGTCATGGACAAATAGCGCAATTGGAAAACAGTTTCTGTGAAAAAAAGAAAAACAAAACAAAAAACTGCTAAAACAGCCTATTTTTTGCATAATTTTTTTTGATTACCAAATTGGCGCTAAAAAAACTCCGAAAATTAAATTTACTCGAATAGAATTAAGTTTTTACGGCTAACACTAGCTGAAATAAGCTTCTGTAAGCATGTACACCTTATTTTGACTAACTTTATTAGCTCAAAGTTAGACCAAAAATCAAAAACTTCAACCTGGTTTTTCTTCAATATTTTTCAATGTCTTTGATTTATGGTACCTGATTTTGCGTGTGGAAAACAAGAAAAAAAACTAATACACGAATACAAAGTTCCTCCACATTTTTCAAATGGTCGGAACATTAAATCTTTGTCAAACTGCGAATAATCAAATTTGAGAGTTAAAAACTCTTATAAAAAATCAACATAACCACAATAAGAATTTTGACCCATTGACATACGAAAAGTTAGCATACAGCACATCGCTCTGCCAAATCAGACTGTCCCTATCTGTTGCTTGCTATAATCTAAGATCAAAATGGACAACGAAATTGAAAAACAAAGTTTTCAAAAAATGCTGCAATAGCTGAAAAATTGTAACGAAAAATCTTCCAGAAACATATAACAACTTTTAACATCTTTAAAAACATCCCAAAGACATCAAACTTATTAAATATGAAAAGTTGATAAATAAGATTCTAACAAAAAAAAACGCCCGTTAATGAAATAAAAAAATACGAAAATTCATTTTTTTCCATGAAAATTTCAGCGGTAAAAACCAAACTCTTGAATATCGTACGAACTCGCTACATTCTTTCGTAAACGAAACAGTCATATGAAAATTGCACAAAAATATTCTGGAAGTTCATGTCTTTTTTGAAATTTATGTTTTCGAACCTATCTATTTTTGACACCAAGACATCATTCGAATATTTTTTAAAAATTTTTTGTGCCACTTGCACTTTCTTAACTGAAGAGCATACTTCGCCTTCTTTTTAGCAAACGAATTTGAAGTTTATTTGAAACACAGGCGAACACTGCAGCTAAGCAGACACGAGCGAGAAAGCGCCGAAGGTGGGCTTCAAAGTGCACAAAAACTTTTGTATTTAATAATTTGGAATTTAACAGACTTACAGCAAGCACACTAACTTTGCATGTAATAAATTAGAATGTATTAAACCAAACTGTGTCTAAATTATGCATTTCAAAAGTTTCACGAAATATATCGAGTTGGAAATTTTCTGAAATGGGATTTTAATATAGCATGAAACAAATAGCTTCTGTCGGTTCAATTGATGAATTAAAAATAACTGGGTTAGCTCATTACTGATCAAATGTCAAAGCACTTGGCATTATACTGCTAATACAGCCTAACGATTCATAAGTGCCACCACAAGTAGCACTTTCATTTGCGTCTTATGATGGAAAAAAGTTAGATCGTATTATGCTGCGCTCGTATAAAAAAACCTGAAACTTAAACCATTTAAAACCAAACTTGAGCGCGAACAACTTTTCAGACTTTTGACTGTCTTCACTACGTTTATTTACACTTAAATAGCCAATAGACACCACCACATAACCAATAAGGTTTATTTAACACACTTCCCAAAAAATCGCGAATGGTACCGAGCATTATCTTAGAACCTGAATTCGAAGAGGCTTCTTAACGAATTGATAAAAATTTCAGAATCAAGTTCCTCTTCTTGGTTGATTCAGAAGATACACTATAACAATTTCCGAACAATTTAGCCACCTTCCATTGCAGAATGGGGTTGAGAGGCAGATTGATTCTGATTTGACGGCTGCTCCCAACTTCCTCCCTCCCTTTCCCTCTCTGAGTCGGGTTCCCTCTCCCCGTGCTCCTCTTCTTCCGTGTTCTCCTCCCACCTATGTCCACCTTCCTCCTGACCCCTCTCTACATCACCCGTTGCAGCTGACGAGGTAGTAGAATCCGAAACTGATTCAACAGTACCAGTAGTCGAAGCAGTGGCCGCTGACTCGGGTACACAGAAGGCAAAGAAGCAAACATTCTTGCTATTTGCACCTCCACTTCCTTTCCCACTCTCCGGCAGATGAAAGAGTTTATTCGCATCCTCCTTCAACATTAAATCAAATGAAAATTATTAAAAAAAAAACAATCTCAAAAAGTGACAACTCCAAAAACGTCGTCCAGATACACTCAATAATGCCAACAGTGACGCACACTAAGCAGAAACACACAATTAGACTCGAGTGCCTTCATTGTCAGGAAATAATTCAAGCAAATGTAAGAAAGGATAACGTTCTTACCAAGAATCTGTCCACAGATCCACACTTGCAGTCCTGAACGGTAGACCCAACTGCCAAAAGAACATCTGAATCGAGAGAGAAGTCCTTCCTACTCTTCAAGTTTTGGAACAACTTCGTTTTCAGGTCATAAACTGTGCCATGTTTGTTCACTCCACGCACTATCAACTTCACTTTGCTCATGTTGGCGTCTCTGGGAATCAGCACCACTTGGAAAGCCTTGTCCAAAGCCCCTGGCAATGGAACTGGGACATACATGAAGGGTTCATAGCTAGTGGACACTTCATTGCATTCAGCACAGCACACCTGCAAACAGCCACATTAAAACGACGTTGAACAAACTGAAAAAAAAATTAATAACAATTTACCGTATTTTTGAACTGTCCCTGAAAAGTTTGTGCGATTACGCTTTCCACACTTTTGCCTCCTTTCGACTTGCTGCTCAAAGATAGCTTCTGATCACCTTTCTTTTTCTTCACACTATCATCCTCTTCCAATTTGGTTTCAGCTCCTTTAAACAGCAAAAAATAAATCAAGATAACTCCTCATCAACAGACAGTCGGAGAAGTTTCAATAAACGCAACGAAACTGAATACAAATGACTGATTTGCAGTTTTTAATTTGACTTGTTTGTAAAAAATGTGACTGATTTATCAATTAAAAAAAATAAATTCGCAAAAGGTGAAATGAAATGTACAAAAAAAAACACTGACTGAGTTAGCCACAAGAAACACGTGTGAGTCAGAAAGCTACTTGCATAAAAGCGCCTATGCTATCTATCATCTACCAAGGAACCATCACTTACTGCGGGGTCAAGAAAGTGTATTTCTGATGGATTCAAAAAAACGTTGCCTCCTTTCCCTCGCCCCGCCCCCCAATTTTTCTAAGCAGCTTTAAAAGCTACGAAATTTTGAATTATTAGAAGTTATTTCAGAGACTGAATCAGTTCGCAAAAAATTTCAAGTTTTTTGAAGCAAGCTAGTCAAGCTATGAAACTTTTGAAATATTGCATGTTATTTTGTGGACTAAATCGGTTCGCAAAAAATGACGTTTTTCTAAGCAAGCTTTTAAAGCTATGAAATTTTGAATTATTACAAGTTTTTTCATAGACTGAATTGGTTTGTGAAAAACTTTAAGTTTTCTAATCAAGCTTTTGAAGCTATGAAATTTTAAACTATTACAAATTATTTCAAAGACTGAATCGGTTTGCGAAAACCTTTAAACTTTGAGCATTATTTGAGCTTTGAAACATTGCAAGTTATTTCGCGGACTAAATCGGTTCGCGAAAAATTTTAGTTTTTCTAAGCAAGCTTTTAAGCTATGAAATGTTGAAATATTTCCATTTTTTTTTTCATAGACCGAAGGTGGTTGCAAAAAATTTCTTTCTTAGCATAGACTTCGCTGTTTTTGAGTGATTCGTTCCAGAACTTTGGACAAAAATTAGGCAGATAGTGTCTAGCCTTGAGTTGAAACGAGTTCATCTTCTGATGGTTGCTCTGAATGCTTCTTAACCATTACGCTCTATAGCCTTTTAAACATTGTCTCCTAACAATTCTTAAGCATCGTGTTCAGTTAAACATTGCGTCCATAGCGCATTCGGAGTTTCACTTAATATACAAGCTGACTTTAAAGCTCTTTGAATCCAAAGAACAAAAGATTGGCACTTTTTGATAAATTAACCCAATTTGAGAAAACTGGTCAATAAAAATGAATGACTGATTAGAACCAAATAATAATATTAAATCAAAAATTGAAAAAAAATTAATTGAAAAATTGCAACAAAAGCGCCGGGAGCTTTCAGAATGCTAGAAATAAGCCGAATTTTCAAAGAGTCCTTTCTGCGGGAACAAAGCCGGCAAAAAAGCAGACAGAAAAAACCTAAATTAGCCCGAAAATTTCCGTTTGCAAAAACACAAGCCCCGACTGGAATCGAACACCCGGGGTTTGTCGTCAATCATGTGTGTTACAGCAATTTTAAAGAAAGCTGAACCTTCAAAAACATCGTGCTACGGAAAGTAAGCCGACAAAAATGAACGGAAAAGCACAAAAACTCTATCCCCAAAAAATAGGTCCCAGCCGCTTTCGAACCACAATCCTTTGCGTATGGTAGGTTGAATTTGAACTTAGGCTATTTTCACTCCCCCCACACTTGAATTTCACTTTTGAAAAACAATTTTAACATGGTCATATTGTATTGAAATTTTTTTATGGTTAACAAATTAACTATTAAGAACACGTTTGTTCTTCATACCTTACATATTAGGATCATGCATTCAGCCAAAAAAAAAGTTTTACAACTAAGAAAATTTAAATTGGAAAGTGGAAAAGAGCCGGAATTGATAATTAAAGAAGCATATGAGTTAGTCCAGGCTCCAGGAGATGCGTCCTTAGAACAAAGTTATTTACGAAAAAAAAACAAGCACCCGATTGCAATACCCTTGCTGATTGCAAGGTTAATGAATGCAAGAATACTGAAAAAAATCCAGACTTGTTTTTTGAATAAATTTCAACTTTAAAAACTACTTCGAAACTAGAAGTCGTTGACGTGTTTACATGCCATTTTTATGTTTGCAACTGGGGAGCGTCAGTTGCCTCTTCCTTTTAGCAAATGAAATTTAAAAAGAAATCAAAGTCAAGCTGCAAAAGATCAATTTTCCTGACAAAAAACAAGACCTATATAAGTGCCTTTCAGTGGGTTTATTGACACTAAATAAACATGTGTAAAAACTATATTAAAAAATAACCAAGAATAAATTGTTTGAGCGGTTGGTTTTTTGGGATCATTACATATTCAGGATGCTGTGGGATGATTAACATAATGCTGTGCTTTTACATCGATATACCGAGCTGAAACAAAAACAAACCTTTCTGAGTGAGTTTGTGTGTTGCGGTGAATCCATCCAGATCACTCTCATTGTCCGATGAGACATGGTCGGATTCCCCGTCAATCATTTCATTCGAGTCCAGTTTCATCTTTTTCATCACATTAGAAGGTGAGATCTGTCTAGTTCTCTCGTGTACCTGGGAGGCCACAGCACCTCCAATCCCCCACTCCTCCCCCATGTCTCCATCACCGGCCCCCACCCCGCCATTCAGCTTCTTGCTCACCGCTGAAAATCATCAACGTCAAGTATCTATCCCTTCACAAAAACATACATCAAACAAAATTGATATCAGTTCGCTGTTATAACACGGAAGAACTCGCAGATCGCGTACTTTATGATTTCGTTACAAAATTGATGTCTGGAAAATGCTCTTGGATAATTGCATAGAATAAATTGGTGCACAAGTCACCATCAAAACGTATACATGGCAAAGGAACATAATATGAACATGTCTGACATTTCGAAGTAGTGTGCTGAGAATTAGATACCCACCAGGGTCGGGCTGGTTCTCAAAGTCCATGGCCATCTGCTGACTACTATTGGGAGCCTGAGACACTGCTGATTGTGTATTGTGAGTGCACACTACCTCATCCTGGTTCTTGTGCTCTATCTTCCTCAGTTCGTCTTCATCCAGGTCCTCCTCCATATTACTTACTGCAGTGTTGTTCATACCTCCTCCTCCTCCTCCTTCAGCTGTACTTTGGCTGCCCAATCGACTACTCTCTTGAGTATTACCTGGCCTTTTCTGCAATTTGAGCTCATCGTGCAGACTGCTCAACAGCAAAGCCAAGAACTCTTGACAATCATGCTATAACAAACGCAGCTTCACTGACAGGCTCTATTTCAATAGTGCGCCATCTTAGCTTATCGAAGAGCCAAAATATCATATCAACATTTAGCCAGCTACGGAAATTTGAAGCGCTTTGGGGGTAGAAATTGCTTTCTAGCGTGAACGATTACGAGGTTAACACCAAACCTGTCGATATCCTTCAAACTGTGAAAATCTGGTAGCCAAGGAGCTCTTGAACGTCTCGGGTCTGAAGTCCGCCCTCTTGTTTCCCCACACCTCCAAAAGAAGATTCCTGAATGGCGTCGATAAATTTGACTCCTAAAAAACTAAACAACAATAAAACAGAAAACAGCTAAAAACTATTGCGCATTTTTGGAGGCTGCTACGTTTTAATACTAGATCTAATGAAAACGCCACGAAAGAATAGAAGCGCTTACAAGGTAGTCTTGAGTCACCACCTTACATGATAGCTTTAACTGCAACATGGCTAAGTGATGAGTATCAAAACTGAGGGGTGTGAACCAGGTAGATCAAAAATCGGAAATGAAATGAAAAGAGGGGGGTAAGGATTCAAAGTGATAGAAATTGTGAAGTCATCAGTAAAATAAATGAGTGCTCATAGAAATCTATGAATAGAAATAGAGTGCTCATAGAAATCTATATCTTAGTTCATATACTACCCTACCAGAACTGAGAAACTGTCCCGTAATTACATGAGACATGAAAATTGATATAATGGGTGATAATTTGGCCACATCAAATACATAAATGCCGAAAATATCAAATGGTTATAATACTCTCAATCAGGTATCAACAAGTATCATGGATCGTTCAATTTGAGCTGGACCAAATTTAAAGACCTTTACTCAAAAAAGGCAAACATAAACAACCATAAATATAAATGAACATTGCCAGCAGACAGTTAGAGTCAATGAACGCAAATATCTAGAAAAAAATATTGACTAGTCTTTTGAAACGATCTCAAATTTCGAAACTCTGAGAAAATAAAATGATGGCCTCAAAGCTCTTTGAATTTCTGTAACAAATTATGATTGACTATTTTTTGACAAATTTAACCCATTTTAAGAAAACTGGATCAATAGGTAAAATATATATTATGCTCGAAAACCTGATAAGTAAATTCCTTTTTCGAAAATAAAGTCGATCACATTTTTCGTGACCTTTACTTTTTCGCTGTTGGATGGTGGAGTTTGCATTTCTTTTACAAAAGGAAATGAACTGAACTCAGAACGAAATCAAAAGTCAAAGCGCGAAAAAGAAAATTGAGCCTGAACAAATTTTAAGATTTTTCCCGAAAAAAATCATCAAGACCTATATGAGACTGAACTACATTCATCGACTCTTAAAACTAATTTCATTCTTTTACACTTAAAATATAATTGAACTACCACAACATCAAAAAAGCCTTTAGAAAATGACTTTTGCTAATAAGCATAACTTCTCAATTTGAAACCGAGGATCTAAGCTTCTCAATTTGTTGCTAGAAAAAAACTTCGTCCCACTAGAGGTTCAAAATACCTGAATAAAGCTTAATTGTGAAATTTGGTACATAGCTTAAAATTTTTCTATCTTAGAGAACAACATGTTTTCAAAAACTGGCTTTGAAAGATTTGGACCTCAGCTGACCTCATTACTTATATCATGAGATTTTGTAGCTTGATATCCTTAATTTGGGGGTTAAGTTTGCATTTTCCAAAATGAACCCTTCTTGACTTATTCTTTGGTACTGCAGCACGGCCTCCATCCTATAGGGACATGGCACAATTAATGTTGGAGGCAGTCACGTATAATGAAAAACTTTAGGACAATTAAACAAACTGGGTACGAGGCCCTACGACAAGCGAATTTCAGAACCAAAAGACCCTTTACTTGAAAAAAATTGTTTTCCTCAGACGTAATCAAAAACATGCTTGCTTGGATTGCCTATAGAGCTTTAAATGCCTAAAGAATTTCAATTGGCAGAACCTGCAATTAAGTATTATCTTTGAATAGCTTTTCCGATCTATTTACAATTCCAACAATTTTTTGTTTAAAAAAAACTGATATTGATTGTTAATTTGAAAGCGTATTTTTTCAAGTCAATTTACTTTAAAGGATAGCCGTGAGAACCCTAAGTCGCGTCCTCTCAGAGGTATTTGATTTAAATAAACTTTGTTTATAATTAATATCTCCTGAGAAATAAAACGGTGCCTAGAAATTGAATTTGAAGGATAAGAAATTGAATTTCTAGAATTCCTGTGAATTTAGACGATAAGAACGGGGCCAACAAAACCTTTCGTTTAGAATGAAGTTACCAAGCTATGAAGAGTATACTATCACAGAAGTGATCAAATTTATTATTGTTAATTAATTAATTAAACATCAAATCAAAAAAGTATAGTATATTTTCGAAATGCGTTAATTATAAACTGTGGCAATAATAAACTAATTTGTGACTGGACAACCACTCAACCAAAAGTTAAATTAAGTCTGCAAGCAACTTTTCACGCAACTTGCCAGCAAGTTATCGTCTAAAATCAGTTAGTTTCTGATCGTCTAATTTGCTTGTCGTCTAATTTGCAAAACCCCAAATAAAACTTCTTCTTGCTCAGTTTTATTGTCTAATTCTTCTTATCTTCAACACACTTATCTTCAACACTAAAATAAAAATGCCTCAACACTTTAGAAGAAAGAAATATAAGACAGCAGTGCAAACTTCGTGACTTCCTCATGAATTAGACAGCGGGATCATGAATTAGGTGATCCCGTATTTCATTTATCTTAGTGACATTCAGCTGACCTCTTTCACATCTGAATAAGAGGAGGATGATGAGGAGGTTGTTTTGAGGAAATGCTGACAGATGGCAGGCATGTTGATGAGACACTGGAGGCCTGCATTCATGAAACAGGTGTTGCCCAAGTTCTGCAGACCACAAACTCCCTGCTCCAAGGGCTCTTCTTAAACACAGCACCCTGAACTTAACAAGCTTTATTTACTTAATGGTGTTTATCAATATCTAACTGTTGGCCCGATATGTCTCAGTAAACAAAATGCTAAGATTTAAAAAGTCTGCTCGTAATCGAGGCGAAGCCCTGAATGTTCCGAGTGCCATTCAACGTCGATGATTTTTTTTTTACTTTTCATCAAGTTTTGAACCAAAAATTGTTTTCACCGACGTTGAATGGCACTCGGAACACCGCGTCGATAAAAAGTAATATATTTTGGCGCTGATAATGTGTTCAATCAGAGCAAAGCATTTGCCTCAATTCAAACTTGAATGATGTAATTTTCGCTTAAGAATTAATAAAACCAAATCTTTCGCTCATTATTGATCCCAAATTGGGAAAGTAGCCAAAATTTCAAACCCCCATAAAAAATCGTTGCATGTGAAAATAATTGTGTTTTTGAGCTCACAAAATCAATAAATTTGCAGAAAATGTCTGTCACATTCTTCGATAGTCGGACCAATAAACTCGAAAAGTATACAATCATTTGCTTTGAAAGGCTGGATAGGGAATAAAACATCTATTAAAAACTGCGGAAATAATCAAAATGTTGACAGCTTTTATTGCTATTGTTTACATGAAGCTCTCCTACTTGAAATGATAGCATGTTGTTTAGGTTGCTGCACTGGACCGAACAGGGGTCTGGCGATTGATGCGGCGGCTGCTGAAGATGAGCCCGCACCAGCCATGTCTGATTCCCTCTCCATGCTAGTCTGCTCCTGCTCATGCTGCACATCTTGATGCTCTCCTCCCTCTCTGTCCTCTCCTTCCTTTCTCCACTCCTCCTCCGACTGACATTGGCGCAGAGGAGGAGGGGCGGAGGTGGTTACACTAGTTCCAACTCTGTCACTCACATTCAATTGTGGCGAGTGGGAGGAGGAGGGAGCGGAGTCGCTGGTTGAGAAGCTGAGGCTGCTGTGGCCACTGCTGCTCTTGTCTGCTACTATGTCTGCCGGATTGCACATTTCCACTTCACCACTGGTCCAATTGCCTTCGTAGTCCATATCACTCCACACACCTGTCACTCATTATTCCATACAATACACACATCTGAAAGAAAGACAGATATGCGATGTTTTTTATCACTTTTCTAGATAACAAGCTTACATCGCGGTCGACCACAGTCTTCTCATACAATAAGCCTTGTGCCTTCTCATGGACTGATGAGCAATTTTAGAACATTTTTCGCAGAAATGATGCTGTTATGAAATTAGTATTTCATTATGTCTCCACAAGAAAAGACCAACAAGAGCGAAACTGAAATGCGAACTAAAGTATCAAAAGTTAAGATACAGACGATTAAACAAAAATGCTGTACCTCAAAGAAAAGAGATCTGCAAACAAGGGTTTAAATATCAATTAAAATAGATTTATACTAATTGAATTGAATATCGTAGAGGACAAAAGCATTCGAGCTAGGAAAAGATTTTAAAAAATTTAAGTGTCGCTGAACTGATTGGCTATTATTCTCAGCTTTTAAAACGTCCTATTTGTTCTGACAAAATTGGTAGAAAAATTCCTTTGAGTCGATTAATTAAACTGTTCAGCAACAACCACCAAATAATAATGAAAATCGTCAACTGGGTTTAAATTCATAAACTGATATTAAGACTTTCAACTAAAACAGCCAAACCAGCGTAACTGGAGGGAGGGGCTGAAACATGAGCCACTCGTTTGTACTTGTTAGTCAGCGTTTCATACGCCCAGACAGCGAACTTCACATTGTCCTTCTTCTGCTTAGAGGAACATTTTGGGTTCACTGCCAGAAAATGACTGCACATAATCATACCAACTAGCGCACGCACGCCATTTCCATTTTCACCGCCCAACTTGACGGCATGTGCAAAATACTTTCGAGCCATTTCCATATGCTCGATTGGGTTAGTGATCGCAGCCGAAGAAGATACAGCCAGGGCTTGAGAGTACTTGATTTCAGCACATTTCTCATAATAAAGATGATTATAAGCATTTGACAATATAAGTTCTTCAATGCAAAACAAAGCTTTGCTGTATTCGCCATCCTGAATGTACAGATCGCCTAACTCGTGCCACGCTTCGAAGTCAGCCTGGAAACTTTTGACATGTTCGCAGAGTTCTTTCTTGGCAGCTGCAAAATCTCCTGTTGCTTTTTTGATAGCCACGAGGCGCTTACGGCATATGGAGTTGGTGTTGTCGAGTTCAAGCATGGCCTTATAATGAACTTCGGCATCGTCAAACTGACCTACTGCTTCGAGCCGCATACCTAAGCAACAGATGGTCAGCATTATACATTTCTAATTAAGCTGTTGAGAAAGATCAATTCATAGGCGCGAAATGTAGTGCAACCAGCAAGTCTAATTACCCTTCTTGTCATCAAAATACATACGGACAATTTCTCCCCCAATCTAGTAAATGGGATAATTTTCAAGTGGTTAAAAGCAATTAGTTTGTTTTTCAGCTAAATTAAAACCAACATTTAGCGCAAAACCAAACCCGAAACATCATGAAAATAAAGAACATTGGCAGCTCAGCCAAAGTTCATTCAGCCACAATTAGTTTTCTTGTCTCAAGATTGAATTTAAGACATGCGATAGGAAGGATATAATAATGGAGAAATTTGTTTGCAGGTAATTTTGTTTAAAGCTTCTCTCTCCTCTACTGCCTTCTACTATGGTGTGGCATATACCTTAGTAGTCTACCTTAAGCTACATCAGCAATTGTTTTTGCTCACAACTTTTTTTCGGCAATTATTTTAACCGAAAATATTTAGATATTCGGCTTAAAAGACGTCTAATATTCGTTGAATTTCTGCCGCCTCTGCATAAGTCGAACTTCATAAAATTTAAGAATGAAAAAAAACACTCGATTTTTATTCCAGTTATTGGTTTCAAAGCGAAGTTTTATTCCTTTATATTTCAAAAAATAATATTATGTTATTTATCATAATTCATTCTACTTTCCGAAGCGCCTAGATAAATCAGTGTAAGGCTCTCGGAAATGCGCATGCTTTATAGTTAAGCTTTGCTCATTATTTCATTCATAACAAGTTTTTCATTCTCACATTATGTTTTTCAAAAATGCGTTTATCTTTTTACGGTTTCTTGTCGTTCGATTTATTTCGACCCTGGTCCCAAGCAAGCATGTTACCTTAAGCCAATGCGCGATAATTGAGTTACCTCCATTCTATTTATTTATTATATGAGACTTTTATTATTATTCGTCACTGAAAAGACTATGTCGTAAGGGTGCGTTTTTAACAACCCAAAATTGGCCTAAATTTTTGCGTTTTTCAGACTTAACTAGCGCGTGACACCAATCTACGATGCTTCAAACAGATTCATGAACGAAAAACTTCTTAAAGGTATAAAACAAAACAAAAAATCTGATGCAACAATTTTAAAAAATAAGCTGGGAGCATCAAATGGCGTTTTCTATTTCATAGAAAGAATGATATAGAAAAACAAATTCAGCTTTTACGTTCCTGATTTTTTCACGGCCCAACTCAGAAACTTCTTTCTTTCTGATTTGTTTGGATAGCAATATGCCGTTTGCTGAGTTCGCTTGATTTGACTGAAAAAACTTCAAAGGACAAATTCAAATTTGAAAAATAGCATAGAAACTCTTGAAGCTAAAAATAGCATAAAAAATACTTGAAACTTTGTCTCTTAAACTCAAAAAAATGCACATGAAATAAAAAGTTGAAGTAAAAATGGACCAAAAATGAGCTTTGCACCACTTGCGATACAAAAATAATTAAATGTGAGTAAAATCAAATGAACATATTTATTTCAAAAAGTCCCACAAAATACCCGCTACAAAATTACCTGCACGCTACAAGCTTTACAAGGAGCTTTCGGAATGCTAGAAAGAAGCCGAAGTTTCAAAAATCCTCTGAGGAACACCCGACAAAAACAAACAGCTAAAGCAGGAGGTACCTGTTTGATAATTTTCAATATTGTTGTTCTGATACGTAATGAAATGGGTAATTTCAAAAATTTAAAACTTGGGTTTTACCTAAAATCTAGTTATTGCTCTATTAAAATGAATGAAACTGTTGTGATTTTGGAATTTTCCTTGAGACGTATTTTTTTGACAGCATTTTACGGCTGAGCAATTTGTGCACGGAGGCTTCCCACAACCTGCTGCCGCGCTTAAACCCTTCATATCAGATTGAGTTGCTACCGAGAGGAGTGAACATGTTTCACAAAAACGGACAAGAAATCAAAACATTGATTTTTCCGAGGGTCACAAATTTTTCTGCAAAAAAATTTGAGCGAAACCGCTTATTTAGCGGGATTCCCACAACCTTTTCTACCCATTGAAACCAAAATCTCAAATTTGGAGGGTAGTTTTCGAGAAAAGTCAAAAAGCATCAAAAAACAGGAAATCGAAAATTTGATTTTTCCGAGGGCCATAACTTTTTGTGTAAACAAATTGGGTATAGTTGCTGATGCAAGTGAGCTTATCACAACCCGTCTTTTATATTGAAGTCAAAAAATCTGATTCGGGAGGGTAGTTTCGAGAAAATTCAAAAAAATTAAAAACGGTCAAAAAATCGAAAATTTGACTTTTCTAAGGGCCATTATTTTTGTGTCAAAAAATTAGGGCCAAATTGTTTGTGCCCTTTGCAGTTTTTACAACCTGTTCTATCCATTGAACCCAAAATCTCAGATTTGGGAGGGTAGTTTGAGAAAATGTCAAAAAGCCCAAAATATAGGTCAAAAATTCCCCCCAAATAATTTTTCGAAGGCTGTAGTAAGTGGGGTAAGGTTAAAAAAAGCCCAGGGAATTACGCAGGCACACAGGGTAGTGCGCCGACTTCCCATTGGTGCCACTTTGTTTTATAATTGATAAAGTAGTGTTTGAGAAAACTAAAATTTAGAAAGTGAAAAAATTTTCCAAAGCGTCTCAAAAATACCTCTGAAATAATGTGAAAATATGAACATAATTTTTTCATTAGTTTTTACCATTTTTTAAGTGAGATTCAGAATCTACCCTAAAAAAGCATTCAGAAAATGTATGAGTGGCTGCAGGGATCCGGTAAGTTGAATTTCGCCCCGTTTTTTTAAGGAAATTTCATCATGAGCTTTTGAAACCTTCCAATTTTTTGATAGCGTAAACCGGTTGGTTCGCAAAAATGGTAAGTTTTGAAGTTTGTTAGCACATCCAGCGATGCACCATTGAAACATTATAGTCTTTTCACAGGGCTTACCGGTTTTTAAAAAAATGTCTAGGGCAAGCTCAAGTGATTAAAATGATAAATTCATTTTTTTGAGAGCGCAAATCGGTTCGCAAATTTTTTCAAACAAGCTCATCAAGTAACGACTTATGGAAAGACACATGCGAGCAATTCAAGTTGTTAACATTTCACTCGAGCAGCTCTTGTGAAACAATTACTAGGATCGCAAGCTAGGTTTTAGCTATTCTGTAACAAAAAGAGAAGTTCGTTGTTTTTTTTAGTTCGCTCATCTTATAAATGAAAATGATCACGAAAGCCGTCAGGCAAAGAAATAACTGGTACTGTCCAGTCTTGAAGTTGGATCGAGTTGATATTGTCTGAAGCACTGACCTACAAAAATCTTCTAGAACATTCCAGAGTCAGAAAATTTAGTTCGAAAAAAACTTGCCAAGCTTGGCTGATACCAATTTCCAAAAGGTTGCGCCCGATAGTGCATCTTAACCATTGGAGCCTTATGAGTACGAAAAACATGTCATTCGTTTAATATAATATATACAGGTAGATTGTATTACCATAAATTGGTTGTATTAACAAAAATGGTCTTTATTCCGATTTGCTTGCTGTGGGAAATAAATTTACCGCAATAAAATACAATGAGATGTTAAATTAGATACAATGAGTCCTACCTTTGAGTTTATGCACCCGCATAGAGTCCGGAAATTTTGAGTCCAATATATCCATACATTGATCAACCAGATCAAAACGCGCTAGATCCAAGGCTGCGAGTATCAATTGCTCGTATATACTGTATAGATCATTTCCAAATATATGTGGTTTGCTAAAAATCACCTGTTCAACTAATTTGACAACTAATTCGCTGTTCCGTGTATTATCTTCTCTAAGCTTTTTCAATTGAAATATGATGTCTTTTTCAGGCAATGAAGACTGTGTATCAAACTCCATTCGTATATCTTAAACAATTTTAACTCAATCAATTTTTTCACCCAAATTCTCTGACCTTCAAAGGCTTGCAAGGATCTAGTACCGTTCATATTCAGCTTTTAAGACCACATTCTGGTAGTATTCAATTTTCTGAAGATTTGATTGCCTATATTCGTCAGATTCACATTGTCCAGTCATATATATTTTTTTTAGAATTGCATGGATTCAGAACATGAACAGCATAATGAAATCGTCGAGATAATAAATTACACAGCGATAAACATTTCACCAAACAGCAGGGATGCGTAAAATTGTATTGTGCTTTCAATATATTGCAATGCTACACACTAATAACAAAAAAAATAAATTAAGGAATAAGTCAAGGGAAATTAATCCCGTTCAAGTCAGGTAAGCCCGTACACAGCTGAGTTGGCTTTATAAGACTGAGTCGCTTGGGCAGCAATGTGGATAGCGTTCGTGATGTTCTTCCAGCAATGTGGATAGCGTTCGTGATGCTCTTCCAGCACTTTCATTCCGCTGCGATTCGAGAGAGGTGAAACAGGTTTTCGAGTCTCTACTCAACATCTATTTGCTTGAGCAGCCTAATTGTTGTGACAAATTTATTAAATAGATTCAGGGATATAAGCGAGGACTGAACCTGACTCTCCCAACTCTCAAAATGCTTGCAGCCGGAAAGAAAAACCGGAACAATACGAGGACTAAATCAACGACCGATATCAGACCAGACGAAGAAGAATGTCTCAAATACAGCAGAACCGATTGGGATGACTGGATCGAGTGCGACCGGTGCTCAAAGTGGACACATGCAGACTGCGTGAAAATTCCCAGGGAAGTTTTCCAGTATATTTCAACCTCAGATACTATTGTGTACATGTTTGATATTTGCTTGAGCAGACCAACTGAAAAAAAAAACTCAGAATTGCGATAGGACTTCGATTAGGCTCAAAAATATGCGAACGGCATAAATGCGTGTGCGGAAAAGACTTTATCGAGTATGGTTGGCATGGTCTTTCTTGCCTCAAAAGTGCAGGGAGATTCTCCAGGCATTCAAACCTGAATGCCCTTATAAAGCAGAGTTTATCTTCTATTCACGTTCCGTCTGTTTTAGAATCACGACACCTCTACAGGACCGATCAGAAGCGACCAGACGGTTTGACGCTCGTTCCATGGGCTGTTGGTAGGCAGCTCTTGTGGGATGTAACGGTGGTAGACTCCTTAGCTCCTTGTAGGATTAATGCCGGGTCTGTTTGTAACCCTGGTACGGCTGCCACTGAAGCGGAAGAGCGAAAAAATGACAAGTATAAAGATCTTGTAGATGATTGATATCTTTTTCAACCGCTAGCTTTTGAGATTCAAGGCGCGGCCGACCCCAGCACAGAATTTTTTTGAGCAAGCTTTGTAAGAACCTAAGCATATGCACTGAAGAACCCAGACCAGGCAGCTTTTTAAAACAGAATCTCCCTGTCAATACAGATTGCGAACGCCACTTGTGTACTCGGAACAATAAATGACAAAATAACTTTCGACGTTTTTTTTTATTTGTAACACCTGTATTTTATATTTTCTCGTGTCGAGTTGCGTGTTCTTATTGAAGAAACGTACCCCGTATCGATTTTAATTGAAAAAGACTTCAACACTTGTCATCTTCTTTTATCATTATCACTTCCATATCTAGAAAATTCCAAGGATTTTGACTGGAATACGTGATGAAGGGACTCCTGACTGTAACTTCGGTTACTATGATACTTTTGACCTTCTGATTACCCAAACAAAAGAAAAAAGAGAATAAGTTAAGAAACCCGCCATTGCCTGGGAGGAGACCGCTAAGAGACTCAAACTCATTGAACAGAAACTTGAACGTGTAGTCCAAGTAGTGGACAAGCCCCCAGTGTTCTTAGTGGTTCCGACAACCGTCCCCAGAAACCTCATCCACCAGATCCCCGTTGCTTCAACGGCATACGAATACAGAATTTAAAAGAACCGGATCACGAACTCTCATCTGACAACATGGAGTCTGATATGCACAATTTTGAATGATCCATGTGGAGAAGAAATTAGTGTTGCGGATCTCTACCGTACTGGGAAGAAAAAAGAAAATATTACCAAAGACCAAGAACACTGATAGTCAAGCTACCGAACTACTGGCAGTACCGAAAGGTTCTGGCAAGTACACATAAGTTGAAGGACTCTTCTGACAACGTCTTTATCTCCCGTGAACTAACGAAAATTGAACTTGAGCTAGAAAAGAAGTTGCTGAAATGCCGATACGAACTTATTCAGTCTGGTCAGGTCGCAAAGGAAAACGCAAAAATTCGTGATTTGAAACTGTTTATAAACGGACAGGAACATAAATTGGATTGACTTCAAGCCAAATTTGTCACTATGTTGCTTATAAATGCCAGGTCCCTCAAAAAACTAAACGCCCTGATACATTTACATACAGACATGCTAAACCAAAATGTTGACTTCTGTCTTGTTTGCGAAAGCTGGCTGGGTGTTAATGTTGATTGTTCCTTCATCCTGCCTGGTTACCACCTTGAAAGACATGATCGAAGCCATAAGAATTACAATAAGCAAACTGGAGGCGGAGTATGTGCATTTATTAGGCACAACCTGTCGTACGCACGGCTACATCCTCTCGGTTCCGATCAGTTTGAAATTTTGTGGCTTGATTTCTTCGTAAGTCCTCGTGTTTTGCTCTGCTTACTTTACTTCCCTCTAGACGCCTGTAATGCGGAAGCAGTCTCCGAACATATTATTTCCACGTTTGAGAACAGTATGCAAATCATAGCCTACGGTTGCGTTGTCGTATGTGGTGACCTGAATTTTCTCGACACGGGCCATATTTCGACTCATTGCAATTTGCATCTTGTTAACATCGATCCAACACGCGGAGCACGAAATCTTGACAATTTTCTATGCAATGACCCGAGTATATTCCAATGCTGCAAAACGTTTCCTCTTACAATATCAAGTGACCACCTGGGAGTTATTGCAAAGATCGCCAAATCCAAGCATTCTCGCAGGAAAATGATTTTCCGAGACCAACGTGTTCAATTTCGACGAGCTTGCAATCTAGCATTGAATCAATGTGATCTTCTCAAATCCTGCACATAAATGACGTCAATTAGGAGGTTTCAGAATTGAGCCATGTCCTCACCTCGTATTTTAACCATTTCTGTCCATTGCGTCGGGTTTCTCTAAGAAACACCGAGCCACCATTTTTCACACCAGTTGTAAAGCTTTTGCTTAAAAAGAAAAACAAGCTATTCAATAACATCCGAGTTAATGGTGCTTCAGCGGTTGCTGCAGAAATTCGCCACAAGATTTTTTCCAATAACTCTCGGAACAAACAAAATGGGAGCAAATCGTGGTGGAGGCAAGTCAACTTTTATGTGAAACGTGAACAACCCGTCATTGAAAACCACTTCGACGCAAATGAACTGAATTCTTATTATAATAGTTTAGCACTAATCTCGTAAACACGCGGCCTCAAATCTATGACACACATGCTTACCAACTTCCTGTTGTACATGTACGCTAGGTGTTTAATTACATATCAAAGTTGAAAAAAAAATACTGTTGGCCCTGAGGGTCTGCCGTATTGCTTATACCGTGAAAACGCCCATAATCTAGCAGAGCCTTTAACGCACATTTTTAATCTGTCTTTATCAAGAACGGTTTTCCCTGAAACTTGGAAAATTAGTTGCATAAATTCTATTCCGAAGTGCCTCTGTCCATCTGAGTTTTCTGACTTGCGGCCTATTTGTCTGACTCCTATTACTTCTCGTGTGTTTGAGGGAGTTGTCTTTGACAGCTTTGTAACTAAGCGATATCACTCAACCCTGTCGAACGATAAGCTCGGTTTTCGAAAAGGTTCCTCAACTACGTGCGCGCTTATCAAGCTACTAAACGATGTGTACTACCTCCGTTCAGAAAATGACTACGTGCATTGAACTTGAGCTAGAAAAGAAGTTGCTGAAATGCTGATACGAACTTATTCAGTCTGGTCAGGTCGCAAAGGAAAACGCAAATGACCCGAGTACCATCAATAATATTTCTCTATTTCTCATCGTGCTATTATTGATGGACTTCATATGTCTCATTATACCCCATTTCTTTTAATATGGTACAACAGTTTTTTTTGTGGTCGCGTACATTCGAGTCTTGTAAACGACCAACTATCTCGTGAACTAACTCTCAGTCAAGGCGTTCCGCAAGGGACAGTAAACGGACCACCGTTTTTCAACAGGGATACAAATGACATATCAGTCACAACTGACATTCCTGAAAGACGTTGTAGACTGACTAAATTCGCTGACGATTTTACCCCAGTTGTAGGAGGTCGCATAGGTGAAAATGAATGTTCCAGTGACGTTATTAATGCACTCGAAGTCCAGTATAACGCTGAATCACGGAAAAACAAAAAAGTTTGTGTTATTGTGCAATTATACAGTCGCAATCGTCTTCTCAGTTTGATTTTATCGCTGCGCCAGACTAGTTGTAGTTTTGCTAGGGCTGTTGAGGCTAGCGTTTCCTACGTATCAGATCTTCAGAATTACCCAATAAAGAGCCGACCTTCTTCGTTTTCCTCCACCTCTCTTCGGATCTATTTCCTCGTTTAATCACTGTGATCTCGTTCTTGTCCGGGTGTGATTTGAGTCGATGCGTTTGCAAGATGGTAGTGACGTTCTCTTGAATCCAAGTTGAGTTGTTTTCGTCTTCCGTTATAAAGTCGGTATCGTCTGCGTAAATCGCTTCGTCTGGTTTCGGGATTGCGTAATCGTGGGCTAATTATGCCGGTGGTTTCACTTTATTGCGTTCCTGTCTCACATCTTTAAGTGCATTTTCAAAGTACACATTAAAATTGACTCCGCTTAGTCCGTCTGCCTGGGGGGATCCGATATTGGTAGGGATTGTTTCGTGGTTCTGACCAATCTCATTCGTGATCTCCAGGTTATTTTCGGTCAAAAGTTTTGTTAGTAGTCAAACTTCGTCTCGTGGAATGATCTTATGATATGTATTGACTAGCTGTTTTCTGTCGATCGTGTCAAATGCAATTGACATGTCGATTCCTGTCAAATACACTTCCATCTGGAACTTTTGAGACTTCACGACCAGCTACTTCAATCCCAGACTACGTCCGTTTTTCCTCTGCCCAGTCGGCTTGAACTCTGAGAGTCGAAGATATATCGTTCAGTGGCCGATCGGATTCGGTTCAGTGTGATCAGTGACAGCAGTCTGCGAATTGTTAGAAGCAGTATAACTGGTCGGAGGTTCTTGACGATTCCTTTCTTTTTCTTCCGGGTTTCTGGAGGGGAACCAGGATTCCGTGTCCAAGCTTCAGGTCGGCTTGCTGCTCGAATGCACCGTTCAGTATGCTGGTAACGCGTGTTACTAGGATATCTGGTCCGTATTTGAGCAGTTCTGCGCTGATCCCATCGAACCCAGCAGCCTTTCCAATCTTCATTATCTTCAGCGCAGATCTTACTTCATTTTCGGTTTTTAGCTTATCCAACGGTTCATGTGACGTGTCGCTTTCAAGTTCGTCGATATCGTTCTTGAAGAGATGTTGTTGGAAATGATCTTTGGTGCTCTCGTATCTCTCCTCCGGTGATGTTATCGTGTGGTTGATGTCATCCTTCATCATCGGGTTTTACCGCTTCCCTCGTAACAGAAGTTTCACAGATTTAAACATCTTCGCATTGTCAGGTGTGCTTTCATTTTCAGTCAATACCAAGTCGAGGCTGTTCTGTTTCGCTTTCTTCACTTTGGCATGAATTTCGGTGAGGACCCGACTTTGTTCGCTTCTGAGCCTTCTAATCTTGTCCACGTCCGTAGCCTCCTTGATTTTCAGTCGTAGGTCCCTTTGCTTCTGCGACAAGAAATGGATCTCTGGGTTATGATTTTTTCTCGTTACGTTCTTTTCCAAGGCTGATGTTGCGGCTGCGAGAACGTCCTTGTGCAAAGCTTCCCAGGTCGTGTTGGGATCTGATTTTCATCTTCGAGTCTCCAGTTCGGCTTGGTATTGTTCTCTCGTGGTCTTCTCGGACAGCAAGCGATTGATGCTAAGTGGTGACTGAATTCGCTCGATTTTTGGCTTGTACAGCTTGTATTTTCGTATATTGAATTTTGCTACTACCAGACGGTGATCAGAGTCTGTTATCGTTTAGCTGTAGCTTCTCGCACTCGTCAGTTTTCGTTTCATATCCATGGAGCAGGCGTTGTAGTTCAAGTGTGAGTACATATCAAAAGTTTCTACTGTTCGTAAAGTTGCATTCAAACCTTCTAAAGCAAGGATTGCTTTCAAAGTAACTTGCGTCTAACGCACCTCCGGTGCTTCTAATTTTTAGCAATTCATAAAAAACCACATATATTGCAATCAAAATTTGCATCCTTTGAGTGTACTGTGACAATACCCAAATAAAAGGATTCGTAAATACAAATTTCGCTTAGTTTTTTTATTCAAGTTTTTTATACAAATTATGAAGAACCTAACTTTGTGAAGTTTTTTATAAAATGTTTGAAAAAATTAAAATGAAATATGAAACGTCACATCTGGTAAACTAAAAACAATTGAGCAGTCGCATTTGAGAAACTTCAACTTTAAGTTTTCTGAAAAAAAAAAACATTTTTTTTTGGAAAACCAGAAGAAACTTCACAACATCTCGAAAACTACCAAGATATGAGACGTCTTATTTGAAGGCAATGTTCGCAATCTTTGGCAGTACTCTGACAGCCCACAACTACAGTGTTCAGAATTTAATTTTTGTGAATTATTTTGTAATTTGAGTTTTCTGAAATATTCCGAAAAAATCACAAAAATCGTCGTATCTTTTAAACTAAAATGATTTGAGCATTCTTAATTGGTCAGGAATTTTAAACTTAGAAAAGAAAATTATTTTTGGCGATTTTTTTTTGGAAAAAATCACAAAAAACGTCGTATCTGGAAAACTACAAGGTTTTGAGCAGTCATATTTGGAGGCAAAATTGCAACTCTTTCCTGAGCGTGACCTGTCAAAACCTCATAGCAGCGATGGTAATTTCAATTTTTGTGAAATTTTCTTTCTTTAAGTTCTCTGAAAACCTTTGAGAAACTCCATAAAGCGGCATATCTCGAAAATGACCAAGATTTCAGCAGCAAAAATTAGAAGCTTGATTCGGAACCACCTGAGAGCACTCTAACAGTTTCCAACAACAGGATTGCGGTCCTAAAAGTTTTGGAATTTTTCTACATCTAGGTTTTTTTGAAATTTTCTGAAAAAATCATAAGAAACATCATATCTCGAAAACTACAACGATTTGAGCATTTACAATCGGAGGCAAAACTCGCAACTCCCTGACACAACCTCACCACAGAAATGAGAATTTCAAATTTGGTGAAAATTTTTATACTAAGCTCTATGAAAAATTTCGAAACAATCCTAAAGAGCGTTATATCTCGAAAACTACAAGGATTTGAGCAGCCATAATGAGAGGCAAGGTTCGCAATTCCTGAGAGTTCCTTTACAATTTCTAACAACAGTTTTGTGTTTTGGAATCGCCACCAAATCTTTTTTCTCAAATCCGTGTAGTTTTTGAGATATGACGTTTTTTATGATTTTTTCAAAAACTTTCAAGAATACTTGGATATTGTCACACTGGTTGCAAATCTTGCCTCTGAATATGGCTGCTCAAAGCCTTGTAGTTTTCGGATTTTTCAAAATTTTTCAGAAAACTGAGACAGAAATTTTTCGAAAATTGAAACTCCCATATCTGTAGTGCGGCTCTGTCAGGGTATTCTCAGGAGTTGCGAATTTTGCCCTTAAATTGGATTGCTCAAATTTGATGTTTTTTATGATCTTTTGTAGCCTCAGAAAATTAAATAAAAAAATTCTAACAACAGGATATATCTTCACAGTTTTCGACTTTTTGAAAATCTAATTTTTCCAAAATTTTTTCGAAAAAGTCATAGAAAACGTCAAATTTGTGCAAACAAATTTGGAGGCAAAATTTGCAACTCCTGAGAGTACCCTGACAGAACCGCACTACAGAGATGGGAATTTTAACTTTTGGGAATTTTTTATCTCAGTTTTTTGAAAAATTTTGAAAAATCCTAAAAAACGTCATATCTCGAACTTTACCCGAAAATGATCCCCAAACAACCATACACAGATCGAGTATCCATCCATGGGTTGGGAAAAACTCTTCTCACCTCTCTAAACTGATACCAACTTTTAAACGGTAAATGTCAGAAAAAATCTTGTCTCAATAGAATTGTCAAATTTATAAAAAATGCAGAAGAGACTGAAAACGTCGCTAAACGAAGATCAAGAGTTCGAAAGTAAAACTTTTCGAGATCAAAGATTTTCTTATCTTCAAAAATATCTCAAATCGATGCACAAAAGCTGCAGGTACGCGATGACTATCACTTACAGAAATCAAAAAACGAATGAAGATGAGCGAAATTGTAAACTTTCAAGAATTTTTTTCCCAATGTGTTCCTTAAAAGTAATCAAATAACGAAAATTTGTTACCATAGACAAACATTCAAAAAATCGATTTCCACAAATGAATATAAAATTTTTTTTTAAAAAGCTGCAAACTAACAAGGCATGTTGCCCAGACCGGATAGGAAACTCAGTGCTCAAAAATTTACCATCTTTGTCCAAGTCGTGAATTCTGATTTTCAAAACTGCCCTAAATAAAAGCTTCTTTCCATCTTATTGGAAAATAAATGAAGTGATAGCAATATTTAAGGACCACAACAGAGCAATGCGCAGTTTTTTACGCAGTGTACAGTTGGATAGATACTGCACCACGAACCCACAGAAGAACCTCGCAACCCTACTCTTCAAGGCACCTCTAGCAGAAAAACGTCAAGTGGTGGTGTGGCACGACATCATCAATAATTTTATCAACAGCCACTGCACGATCAATTACAGAGCTTGCACTGCAGATGAATTGACAGAAATGCTGAAGACACTGACAAAAATCAGCGCAATTGTATGCTGTCAGAGAAACGGTACGTCAGATATCAGGAACCAGCTGATCAGCTCGGGTATTCTTGTCATTCCTATCACGAGGTGTCTCATTTCAAAAAGGAAGAGAAGAATAGAGCTGGTCAACGAATATCAGGTTCTGCACCAGGATATCCAGCTAGAGCTAAAGTCTTTGCGGATTGTGTTCGAACACCAAGACAACCTGCCAGCTGTTTTGTCCAAGCTTCGTCGTTCAAACACGAAAAAGAAATCTCAATCGAGAAGGAGGGCGGAAAAAAGAAGACTGATGAACAGAGGCGAGGAAACTGTTGGTCCGACTGACGAGGAGGCTTCAACGGAGAGGTTGAGCTAGAGTTGTGTTATTTGTGTTGCTTTGTGTCACGTGATATTTATTCCTCGTAGCCTGCAAACCAATGTGCACAGTTGTACTCCCACCTCCAATCTTGATTTGGACTTTAAAAAACAAACTCATTTGGAAATTAGTCCGTGATTATGCGTCCGTTTATGTTAAATTTATCAACTGTCACAAGGGTGCTAAATTTTTCAGCGTTTGTCTAGAAAACAACATTATACCTGATTTTTTGAGGGTCAGGGTACCGGAAAATGGGCTGTTTTCAATCCAAGCGGTACACAGTTTTCAGACAAAATTTCTAAGAACGCAGATTAACAAGGCAAGGGCAGATGAGAAAAACGTTGAAGTCAAACTAGATAGGACGAGAGGCGCAGTGTAGATGAGACGTTTTGGCATTCAGTTGTGAAATACTTAAGTCTTAGGGGACAAAGGCAAACAACAACAGTCAAAGAGACCCATCAGAAGAAGCTAATGAAATTATCAGAAGGCAAGAACGACCTCTAGGGAAGCAAGGCGAGGGTTCGGTAAGAGCTCTTGATGATGTAGAAATACCAAAATGGGTACAACAAGTGTTGGCATTAGGGCCGAAACATACCGTCAGGGATGAACTTAATGAGACACACTTTCTCGCCGATTTTGACATCTTTCTATCGGATCTCAAAAGTCGTAAGATCGAAGCTGTGACAAAAGCCTATGTTAAAAGGGTGAAAAAAGCACCATCTGACAAAAGCGTCGAGAAGGCCCGAAAGTATCTGAAGAGTAATGGATTAGTTGCGGTACCGAAAAGACGAAATAAGTGAGAATCTCATCACAAGGATGAGGTCTTCTGGGGGCAGCCCGCCAGGTTTTATGGGTTGGCGAAGGTGCATAAAGAGCATACCTCATTAAGACGGCTGCTCTCCTTGCCTGGTAGCTCTTATTATAACTTGAACAAGGTTCTTGCAAAGCTTTTCAATAAAATTGAGGGCGCAAACATCGAAACGAACTCACTAGATGCGAGAGAAAACTAAGAGAGCTTTAATCTTGAGCCCAATGAAACTTTGATATCTCTAGATGTGAAGAGTTTGTATACAAATGTTCCACTGAAAGAAGCAACAGACATAGCTCTGAGAAAACTGTATGAGCAAGATGAACCACCATCAATTGTTAGGGAAACCATGAAGAGACTGTTGAACATGGCAGTTAGTCAAGTCCATTTCAAGTGCAATGAAGCCTGGTACGCTCAGAAAGATGGTTTGGCAATGGGGGCATCTCTTGCCGTTATTTTAGCAAATCTTTGGCTGAAGCAGTACGAAACTGCACTATCGAGGGATG